GCTCTTTTCTCTTGCATTTCATTGTACTTCTGTCTGTCAACTTCCAGTTAAAATTTTTGATTTGTATATGCGGAAACATTTTTGATGGTTTTAAATCTTAGGGTCTCTGATGCTAATATTTTCGCTCCTAATATATCATGCAGAATTTTTCAAGCTTGCTTTTTGTACATTTGAGTTATTGATTCTTTTGCTTTTTTGGCTTAATTTGATCTTTGGTAGAACTTTGGACATTACTTTGGGAATGGCTACTCTTCGTTCCGCCGTTGCTAAGGCTTCCGAATCCTGGAAGATCAAGCTTTCCCAGCGCCCCCCTCTTACAAAGGTTATTCAAGACTTTAATTTTAACACTGGGTACTACAATCAAATCGGTCTCCTTTGGCATGATATCATGCCTCGCAATTCTGTTGTGACCGAGGCATTTCGTCGTCTCCCTCGAGAGGAGCGCGAAGCCATTGATTTTCGTTTAGCGCGGGCCCATCTTCTCTCCGCTAATAAGACTATTCTACCAAAAGAGGAGTGGACCAAAGAAGAGGATGATGCCCCATACCTCGAACCGTACATTAAACTGGTGGAACGGGAGCTGCGTGACAAGGCTGACTGGGACAATTTCGTTTCACCCAGGACCTATCCCTAGCTTGCTTGCTCTTATCTTACTAAGGTTTATTTGGGATATTTGCACGTAATCCTTTTTTATCATACCGTATTTTTTCGTCGTACATGAATTTAATTTTCGTTAAAAGATGTTGAGTTTTCCAACAAAGTCGGTATCTTTTTACGGGATATCCCCGTTGTATTTCTCAGGTGCTTTTCGTTCCCTTTTTGTTGACCGTTATTTCCCAGCTAGGTTAGGTAGGAGGTCGTTGCTATTAAATTGATATCATTTTTGTTTCACGAGGTAGCATTTGAACCTGTCAATTTATTACGTTGAAGCTTGCTGTCACTGCGTTCAAAGCACCAAGGCGTGAAGGCTGTGATAATCAAGCCCCCTCAGAATATTGAAGCCATTTGTTGTTGGTGCCACAGTGTCTCCGACAGTGGATCATTAAGACCATTCTTCAATCGAATCTCCTATTTAGCCCTTATGCGTCTGCTTGAGGTATGGGCAATTTACAGACCGATCTGGCTCCGATGAACATCGCAGGTTTAGACTCCTGCCGGCACTCCTTCCCACGTGATAAGTGATACATATTCTCGCTTTGGTCACCTTTCGCATTTTACAATCTACTCGTGGCTTGCACTTCAGAATCCGTACTTTTATATGGGCAGCCTCCATTCTCAATTTATAAAATGCATAATTCACGTTTACTCTTTTTAAGTCACCAAGTGAGAAAGTGAGCGTTCTTAGGACGGCCCACTAATCTGCTCGCAGACTTAGTCACTAAGGTAACACGCCTAGTAAATCAATGACCAAGTTAACTCAATAAAACGGGCGTCTTATACAACGATGGAATAAAAACGAGAAAAGCGGTGGAG